GGTTTGTGTTTGTACAGTATTTCTAAGTGCGATTGAGGTTGAGTAGTGCGTAACTCGGATTATCAGATTTTAATCCAGGTGAATTTAAGGGCCTGGCAGGGTGTCAAGGGAGCCATGCCAGTAAGGACACTCATGTGCTGTCAAACATGGTGATGGGATGAAAGGCTCAGTAAGTGATGGTTTTAATAATGAGAACTGGTTATTCTGAAAGGTGATAGGAGCGTCCTCTTTCTGCTCAACGAAGGCAGGGTTTTATCGGTCTCTTATGGTGATTGAAGATGCATTATGATTTTTTTATGAATGACATCATGTAAAAATGACTGGCCCGTTCTGTGACTATTTTGCCTAATAATGTTTCACTGGTTCATGGTCACAGAAAGACACTAGGAGTACAATGTCAGTTGTATCCCTTGTCCCGCCTGGCGAAATTGTAGCCGAGGTTGGGGCAAGGAGAGGGACGGAAGCAACACTGTTACACAATAACAGAATCAAAGTAGCCTAAATAAACCTGAAATCACAGTAAAACATGCAATATATTATTTGTAATATGGTAATATCATGCAAGTGTTTGCAGGCCAAAGTATTTATTGGAGTTGATAACTAGTGCTAATTGCATAAACCTGTTAATGTGTGTGTTTGTTCTCTGCTGATTGGCGGTGTATAAACTAACACAGGTGTGGTGCATGGACAATCTTTGCTATGACCTAATTACTGGTGCACTTCTGCTGCTTTCATAACCAAGTGGGAAGGTGGACGAGGGATGGCCATGCAGTTGAACGAAGAGAACAGTGTTGAGTTTGGGGGTTGTTTTTCTGTGTGTGGCCACGTTTCCGAGGTGAGCAGGATGATTAGGAGATGGAGCTATGTCGGGATGCCACCGGGTCGAAAGCAAAGTCGGGAGAAGAGGATATTGGGACAGGGACACAGAAAGGTGGATTTCTGAGGAGGAATGGAGGGGGAAAAAGAGGAAGAAGAGGTGGAAGAGAATGAGGAAAGCAGTTGGATTTGAATTTGAAGAAGATGGCAATAAAAATGGAGATGGGGTGTCGAAGAAGATTGGTGTCAAGTGCAAACAGAGTGAGCCATGCGCCAGACCGAGTTCTGGAGGTGAAATGGAAGTGAATGAGGGCGAGTTAAGTGAGGTGGAAGGTGTGGTGAAGAGCTCGGAGCACGAGCCTGGCATCAATGGACATGATAAAGAAGAATCTGGTCCAGAAGGAGTGACATTTTGGGAGAAAGTGGATCCTTGCCTTTTGGCGGATCCATTTGTGTTTTCAGGGTGGGTGGGAAAGGAGTTGGGTGCAGTTGAATCAGTGAAGATAACCTGTAGTGGACTTCTGATATTTGTTTGTGTTTTTTCTGATCAGAGGGAGCGGGCGATCAGAGTCTTTACCCGGCAAAGTCATGCTAGGATATATCAGTTATCTTGTTAGAGCTTTTGTGCCGAATCCACTGCATGCAAGGTTTATGGTCATGTCACAGCAGTTTGTAGGAGGGAGATTCCAAGATGTGGGAAGTGTGCAGGAGGGCATGGGATAGAGCATTATGTAGTTTTGGTGGATAAAGTTGTGTGTGTCAACTGTAGGGGTGCCCATGTTGCTGGGGATCGGAAGTGTCCGGTGCAAGAGAGGCAGGTTGAGGTGGCCAGAGTCAGAGTAGTGCAGAAGGTGTTGTATGCTGAGGCAGTGAAGAAAGTAGAGAAGGATTGGTCATGGGTGAGGGATCCTGAGCGGATCCATGTGAGTAGTAGATTTGTGCCAGCACAGAGGGATAGGCCAACGATTTATACAGTGGGGAGAACAAGTATTTGATACACTGCCGATTTTGCAGGTTTTCCTACTTACAAAGCATGTAGAGGTCTGTAATTTTTATCATAGGTACACTTCAACTGTGAGAGACGGAATCTAAAACAAAAATCCAGAAAATCACATTGTATGATTTTTAAGTAATTAATTGGCATTTTATTGCATGACATAAGTATTTGATCACCTACCAACCAGTAAGAATTCCGGCTCTCACAGACCTGTTAGTTTTTCTTTAAGAAGCCCTCCTGTTCTCCACTCATTACCTGTATTAACTGCACCTGTTTGAACTCGTTACCTGTATAAAAGACACCTGTCCACACACTCAATCAAACAGACTCCAACCTCTCCACAATGGCCAAGACCAGAGAGCTGTGTAAGGACATCAGGGATAAAATTGTAGACCTGCACAAGGCTGGGATGGGCTACAGGACAATAGGCAAGCAGCTTGGTGAGAAGGCAACAACTGTTGGTGCAATTATTAGAAAATGGAAGAAGTTCAAGATGACGGTCAATCACCCTCGGTCTGGGGCTCCATGCAAGATCTCACCTCGTGGGGCATCAATGATCATGAGGAAGGTGAGGGATCAGCCCAGAACTACACGGCAGGACCTGGTCAATGACCTGAAGAGAGCTGGGACCACAGTCTCAAAGAAAACCATTAGTAACACACTACGCCGTCATGGATTAAAATCCTGCAGCGCACGCAAGGTCCCCCTGCTCAAGCCAGCGCATGTCCAGGCCCGTCTGAAGTTTGCCAATGACCATCTGGATGATCCAGAGGAGGAATGGGAGAAGGTCATGTGGTCTGATGAGACAAAAATAGAGCTTTTTGGTCTAAACTCCACTCGCCGTGTTTGGAGGAAGAAGAAGGATGAGTACAACCCCAAGAACACCATCCCAACCGTGAAGCATGGAGGTGGAAACATCATTCTTTGGGGATGTTTTTCTGCAAAGGGGACAGGACGACTGCACCGTATTGAGGGGAGGATGGATGGGGCCATGTATCACGAGATCTTGGCCAACAACCTCCTTCCCTCAGTAAGAGCATTGAAGATGGGTCGTGGCTGGGTCTTCCAGCATGACAACGACCCGAAACACACAGCCAGGGCAACTAAGGAGTGGCTCCGTAAGAGGCATCTCAAGGTCCTGGAGTGGCCTAGCCAGTCTCCAGACCTGAACCCAATAGAAAATCTTTGGAGGGTGCTGAAAGTCCGTATTGCCCAGCGACAGCCCCGAAACCTGAAGGATCTGGAGAAGGTCTGTATGGAGGAGTGGGCCAAAATCCCTGCTGCAGTGTGTGCAAACCTGGTCAAGACCTACAGGAAACGTATGATCTCTGTAATTGCAAACAAAGGTTTCTGTACCAAATATTAAGTTCTGCTTTTCTGATGTATCAAATACTTATGTCATGCAATAAAATGCAAATTAATTACTTAATGTACCTATGATAAGAATTACAGACCTCTACATGCTTTGTAAGTAGGAAAACCTGCAAAATCGGCAGTGTATCAAATACTTGTTCTCCCCACTGTATATGTATCAGTAAAGTTGGTTTCTTAGCGTTCATAGCAATGGTTATCAACTGTACCACAGAAAAAGAACGTAAATCACAGAAAATAGATGTTGTGGTGGCAGCTGCAGAGAAGTATTTGGGTATACAAGATTTGATTTCAGAAGAGTTACAGGGTGAGTTGAGTGGTGGTGTCCAATCCTCCCAGGCCGTTGGCATGGTGCAGGGCAGATAGGGTCAAAGTAGTGGAATGGGGTAGTGGGTTTTTAATGAGGGTAGGGTTAGTTGGTAGGGTAATAACACATTTTTGTTTATTTTATTTTTCCTGTTTCCCCTTTAACCATTTTGTATCACAAAGTGTAATGGATTTATACTATAGTTCAGTTGGGGGCGGTAATTCAACAAATTGGATGCCATCTGCCGTTAAACTCCACAGAAGAAGAAGAAGAAGAAGAAGAAGAAGAAGAAGATTCTTTAGACATTCAGAATGGTGAAAAAATCCATGCTGATGGCAAATAGAGTGCCACTCTACAAATTAGCACTAACCCAAACAGGTCTATAATAGATAAGACAAAATATGTTACAACTTCCCTCGGTCTCCCCTTACTAATAGTGAGTGTGCAACTTTCAAACAATTTCCCCCACTCTTCCGTACTTGCGAATCAAGGAAATTCTGAAGAGCATAGTAAAGTTTGAGGATATTTTTCAACAAAAGTAAAGGACAGTAATGTTACGAGTAAAGTAGGAAGCCCAGGTTTCAATAGGTGATAAGATATTAAGGTGACATGAAAGGAGTGTGGCTATTTGGACTGTTGAAGCGGTTTTATCTGCTGACTGAATGGGAGATGATAATTATCTGTGTTTTTACTGTGCTGGTCTCGGGAAGAAATTAAGAGGCCTCATTGTCTGAGATGGTGTAAACATTTATCCGACACAGAGACACTCAATGTGGTCTCGAGACCGGACTCGAGTACTGCAACACTGCCCAGTTGTCTTAAAAGCACCATTAGGCCTACATCCCGGAGTTCCCAAATGTTGACCTCTGATGTAACCTACTAAGGAAATTACCACAATAACAACAACAAAACATTATTTACGACTGGTATTACCACCTTCCCTCCACTTGGCTATGAATGCAGCATATGCACTAGTCTCAGAACTCAGAAGCCCAGGCTTCTCATGTACGAGATTTGGAAGGTCACAGGTAGGCTTACCCCCAAAATTATCCTTGAGCGGCAACTTCAAAGTCCACTATCACTCTATACTTTTAAAGATGTCAATTTTTTATGTTTACCGTGTACATATGTTTGTCATTGAGTGTTGAAATTAGCATCTGGTAAAAAAAAAATTGCGCCAAGGGAACAATGTGTCAATGGAGAAAACAATGTTTTAAAATAGATGTGGGCTACTGTAATATGCTGGGCTACTGTAATATGCTGACTGTGTTTTCAATTATGCCAGTCCTACGTAAAAACTACAGAGGATGAGGAAAAAGCACTCCAAAAGTTGTTGATTTGAAAAAAATAATGGTGGGCCTAGTAGTTTCTTGCTGTCTCAAAACACTGTTTTTGCTTTTGAAGCGTGCTCATTTCGTTTGAACCAGGTTAGATTCCGTAGCTAAACATGAGTCACGTGCCTAGAACTAGGAAGAGGAAGTATTGAATGAGACTTCAAAAAACCACGGCTGTTGCTAGCTACATTTTTCTGATTAATATTGATGTTCAACAAGCTTCTGTACATAGAAATATAGAATGTATCATGATGAGCTGTTGTGCATTGGGTGTCATGTCACCCTTTAATTGTAAGAGCTAGCTAATGTCCGCGGCGACGGTCGAAGGTCTTAGTAAGGAATGAAACACCTGTGCTAGCTATCCAGCTAATTTATCAAAATATCCAGCAAGTTGGCACCCAACCCAACGAAGGTACATTTTGACAGAATGCGATGGGGAACTGTTGGGCTTATTGTTCTGGGATCTTCAGAAGAGAAGCGAACAGGATAAAACGAGGAGGCGGGTAAGTGATACGCCCTTTTAACTAGCGTTGACCAGCCTAGGTTAGCTAGCTAGCTAGACACAAGTATACAGTGGGTCGGCTGTCAAACAATACATCAATGCAGCGTCAAAACCACCACGGTGCCCAAGGGTTTATACGTGACACAGTTGCTTGTCAAATACCTTTCTCTGCTAGCTAGTTAGATTTTTCAGCATCAGCAAGCTGAAGCCACATAGTTTCTAAACCTAGTATCTACATACTGTACTAAAGATGTTTATAACTAACCCAAGATAGACCACAGCCTGTCGGTTACAATGTGAACAAATGAGTCATAGTGGGCAGAACAAGCAAGGAGGGGGGCAGAGCCAAGCACGAGCTAGCGAGATCCTATTGGTGAGTTCTAGCATATTTGCATATTTCCGTTAGGGAACGCCTGTGCAGTGCGCCTGTGCCATAACTAAATTCGCCCTTGCACTCCTAAACAACGCCAAGAGTAAAGTCTACAAAACTTAGTCCACTCTGTTCTTAACAGATTTTAGTTTTTGGATAATAAAACTGTTTTGAGCTCAAATGTTTAATGATGACATTTGCAGAATGTCGGCCAAAATCCATCTCGTTCCATCTTCTCCCACTGCCCGCCGCGGGGCTTCCTCTCACCACCATATTTGGTAGTGAGTGGAAACGCCAAGGGATGCTTCACATTTATATTGTACATCCGGTGAAATATCTGTCTCATTGTTCTATCTGTGACTGTACTGTCTATGCTGAAGCGTTCCCCATCCTACCCTTCACATGGGTCTTGCCATATGGACACGCAGCATTTTTGGGAGTGCATGATGTATTTCCTTTTAATATTTGATTATGCTTTATTGAATTCTAATTTAAACAAATCCTAAACATTTGTGTAGGCGGAAGACCCATTACATGCTTCCTTAGAGGAAAAATCACATTCTGAGTTGACAAATCAAAGTTTATTAGTTGCGTACACAGATTTAAACTGTAGGCTTGATGTTATTGATATCAGTTAGGCTTTAATGTTAGTTTTGATGTCTGGCAGTATATATTATGTTGAAAGAACTAGCTATGACAATCATGTAAAGTCACAGTGACCAAAAGCAGCCTAAATGGATGACAATATTGTCACATTTCTGTCCATGCAGGTCAAAATACTTTAGAAGCAGTACTGCTGGGGAACATTACACAATAGAGGTATGGTACTTACATTTTTCTGGAAGATGGCATGTTTCATCAGGCATCACTTGGTTGAAAAAAAAGAAAGGTGATGTAACTAGCTAATACTGACATTGCAGTTCTGTCTCCACAGTTTGAAAACCTTGTTGAAAGTGATGAGGTAAGTGTGAACATGTAGACCATATTTGTTTGATTGAAACAATCCCAAAGGGTGATTATTGTCTGAAGATGCACGGAAGACACAATGAATGTTGGCATATTGTGCATTTATCTTTGCCCACTTTTGGTTTGAAGTTGTCTTATTCTAATTTCAGGCAGAGAGCCCACAAAGCTGTCCCAGGTATGTTTTTGAAACTTTGTTTCAGGGGACTGGCAAATGCATTTCAGAAGAATAATGTTAATCAGGGCTTGGTGAGTCAAGGTGAGCTTGAGGTAATCTTTGTTTAATTTTGATACCAGGCCTATCAGCGAAGATGAGATCATCCACCTCAAAGAGCACCGTTATGCTGCAATTTCCGATCAGCAGACCTTGATAGACGAGAAGCTGCAAGCAGAGGTAGGCAAGCAAACAGTTTCATCTCCGGCTATGTAAGGCATATAGACAGAGCCTCTGAAAGGGCAGGATACATGCAGATGTAGTTTTACATAGAACCTTGTTTTATTTTTGCTTATTGATGATGGAAGGTTTAATTCAACAGAATCATTACACTTCCCAAATTCTCATTTATAAGCTTTGCAGTGCCTTTCATGTAGCTAGATAGCTAGTTAAGGTGATGCTTAGCCTAAGTGCTCATAGCAGGCTTATATTTTAATTTGGTCCGATCTTAATTTTCCATTATTTGCTTTGCAATTTTGGTTTTCTGTTCTCAGCTTTGTGTTCTTTATGTTTTGTCATTTCTGCTCAGTTATTAGCACAAGAGGAGAAGTTAAGGCTAGAAGAGGAGGCTAGAAATGCTGCCCAGCGTGAGGCCGCCAGGCTGGCACGCAATCGAAAGATAAAGGAGGTGAGGCGGCCATTATTGAAGTGCGCCTGTCGTCCCTTCACTACCTTGTTCCGCCTCACCCACCTTTTCCTTGGCTCTACCCCTGCTTCTCTTGATAACCCCTTCAAGTACATAATGCCACATAAACTGGTGGTCAATCTTTTGTCAATCTAAAGTAATGTAGCCTATGGTATGTCTCTCTATATGAATTTGTAAATCGTACCCCCAGGCAAGTGTCCTTTTTAAAGTCAAACTATCTGAACTGTAAAAACCAGACTCGGTATTGGGTTTGCATTTCCCATTTTTACTTAACTGAGGCATTTGTCCTCAAATGATATATCCATTTACTTCCTTTCCTTTGATGTTTGTCGATGCTGTGCTTTTAAAAATGTTTCATTCCACTGCTTTTCCCTTGGTTAAAGGACAAGTAAAACAATTTTAAAAATCTACATTTTTGATAACATGAACAAAGGCTCTAAAAGCACCCAAATACGTCCTTTTAGAAACGGCAACGCTCTCAGTGTACTGTAGTAATGCAGGTCTTTAGATGTTGTACACATAAAATTATGTAATTCCTAACTTAATTGTGTCATATCCTCAACGTTATATTCCATTTTGTTGGACTCGAGCGACACTTCTGTGTGCGAAGATGCACTTGCTTTTTTGTTCCCGTTGTGGTGATAGAAAGCCTATGCATATTCACACACGGAAAAGTATCGCTCGAGTCCAACAAAATGGAATATAATGTTGTGGATAAAGGTTATAATGACACAATTTCATGTGTACAACATCTAAAGACCTGCAACACTATACTGAGAGCGTTTCCGTTTCTTAAAGGATGTATTTGGGTGTTTTTGGAGCCTTTGTTCATGGTTTATCTGTGCCCCTGCAACTGCAGAACGGGCATGAGGAAGTATTTTGCTGGTGGGGCAAGTTTCTCAAAACCAAGTGAAATCGCTAGTGTCTGGACGCTTCTATAACATGCCATTTACATCAAAAATAGAGATTTTGTTGACAAAAAGTTAACTTGTCCTTTGAATTCAATTTCTGTTTCATGTGTTTGCCCAGCTGCCACCTTTAATCAATTTTAACAGTTGATTGGATGCATTTCACTAACACATTTTTAAGAGATCATTATTTACCATTTCGACCAAGTGTTTTTCTGAGGTATTCCTATTTTTCAAAGCACCAGCTTGCACAATGGACAAAAGGCAAGGCGGAAGTCAAAGGTGGCGCAGCCCATCTGAAAAAGTGAGTATATCAACCAAGCAGAAATGTCTACCACCTCATAGTCTATGTGTGTCAAATTGAGTAAAGTTGACGGTTTCTCCTTCACTGGTTGGATTCTGTTCTAGGCATGGCTCAGGTGAAGACTTTGATGTCTACCTACAGAATGTGAAAGCCACGTCAGAAGCCTTCAGGAGCAGCAGTGAGTCCGCTATTTTAGCACAACCATTTTCCGTAGCCTATATATTATAGGCCATGTTTGATACAGCTCTTCAAAAATGGTGCATACCAACATTCTATTTTAAGATAAATGACTTTCTGTATCCATAAAAGGTCATCCTCATGCATCATTATGAGACCTCTTGCTCTTTGACACCACCTGTAATTTGTTTGTGTCATCAGGGCTGTCCTCTGAGACTAACGTGATCACTCCCAACACGGAGAGCAGCTGGGACTTCAACACCAAGACCCGCTCCACCAATGATGACGGAACCTCACTGGACCTGGAGTGGGAGGACGAGGAAGGTGGGGGCTTGTCTAATTACTTTACTTATTGTCCCCTTGGGAATGTTTTGTCGGTGGTGTTCCATGAATTTGCACTACATTCCCTGAACTTGTACTACTTGTACTGTGCAGTTTCATTGAACAAGTACAGTAATTGTCGAATTCAAACCTCAAAACCACCAGTTGAATGACCATGTGAGGTTTAACTCCATGTATCAGTGTATCACGTTGTCCTTGTCATCAGGGATGAACCGGGCGGTCCCGGCGTGGGAGAGGTCTAAAACAGAAGAGGATATACTCCGAGCGGCATTCCAGCCGGGCGAAAAGCAGGCGACCAGTGGTCCGGCCTCCGCTTCGGAGGACTCCAACGCCCTGGAATGGGAGAACGACTTTGTGAGCGCGCACACCGAGGAAAATGCTGAGGAGAACACAGAGGACTCTGAATACGAGTGCTTTGTCAACCCCATAATGGATATGGACACCCCATCTGAGGAAACATCACCGCTAGATATCACTCCACCGGAGATTGAGGAGAGATAGTCCCCATCGCCAGGGGAACCAGAATCAAATCCTAGCGTTAGTCCACCAGCCCATTGCCTCACCCAAAAGGGAAATTGATTTACTACTACACATACTTCTGTGTCTGCTTGCTCTGAGTGTATGTGTCATTAACATGGGCATGTCTGCCAATGTTTCTACAGTGAAGGAAAAAAGTATTTGATCCCCTGCTGATTTTGTATGTTTGCCCACTGACAAAGACATGATCAGTCTATAATTTTAATGGTAGGTTTATTTGAACAGTGAGAGACAGAATAACAATACAAAAATCCAGAAAAACGCATGTAAAACATGTTGATTTGCATTTTAATGAGGGAAATAAGTATTTGACCCCTCTGCAAAACATGACTTAGTACTTGGTGGCAAAACCCTTGTTGGCAATCAGAGGTCAGACGTTTCTTGTAGTTGGCCACCAGGTTTGCACACATCTCAGGAGGGATTTTGTCCCACTCCTCTTTGCAGATCTTCTCCAAGTCATTAAGGTTTCGAGGCTGACGTTTGGCAACTCGAACCTTCAGCTCCCTCCACAGATTTTCTATGCGATTAAGGTCTGGAGACTGGCTAGGCCACTCCAGGACCTTAATGTGCTTCTTCTTGAGCCACTCCTTTGTTGCCTTGGCCGTGTGTTTTGGGTCATTGTCATGCTGGAATACCCATCCATGACCCATTTTCAATGCCCTGGCTGAGGGGAGGTTTTCACCCAAGATTTGACGGTACATGGCCCCGTCCATCGTCCCTTTGATGCAGTGAAGTTGTCCTTTCCCCTTAGCAGAAAAACACCCCCAAAGCATAATGTTTCCACCTCCATGTTTGACGGTGGGGATGGTGTTCTTGGGGTCATAGGCAGCATTCCTCCTCCTCCAAACACGGCGAGTTGAGTTGATGCCAAAGAACTCGATTTTGGTCTCATCTGACCACAACACTTTCATCCAGTTCTCCTCTGAATCATTCAGATGTTCATTGGCAAATCTTCAGACGGGCCTGAATATGTGCTTTCTTGAGCAGGGGGACCTTGCGGGCGCTGCAGGATTTCAGTCCTTCACGGCGTAGTGTGTTACCAATTGTTTTCTTGGTGACTATGGTCCCAGCTGCCTTGAGATCATTGACAAGATCCTCCCGTGTAGTTGTGGGCTGATTCCTCACCGTTCTCATGATCATTGCCACTCCACGAGGTGAGATCTTGCATGGAGCCCCAGGCCGAGGGAGATTGACAGTTTTTTGTGTTTCTTCCATTTGCGAATAATCGCACCAACTGTTGTCACCTTCTCACCAACCTGCTTGGCGATGGTCTTGTAGCCCATTCCAGCCTTGTGTAGGTCTACAATCTTGTCCCTGACATCCTTGGAGAGCTCTTTGGTCTTGGCCATGGTGGAGAGTTTGGAATCTGATTGATTGATTGCTTTTGTGGACAGGTGTCTTTTATACAGGTAACAAACTGAGATTAGGTGCTCCTAATCTCAGCTTGTTACCTGTATAAAAGACAACTGGGAGCCAGAAAACTTTCTGATTGAGAGGGGGTCTAATACTTATTTCCCTCATTATAATGCAAATCAATTTATAACATTTTTAACATGCATTTTTCTGGATTTTTTTGTTGTTATTCTGTCTCTCACTGTTCAAATAAACCTACCATTAAAATTATAGACTGATCATTTCTTTGTCAGTGGGCAAACATACAAAATCAGCAGGGGATCAAATACTTTTTTCCCTCACTGTATGTACATACAGGTCAGATAAAGCTGTGGACATGCCAGATTTTCTCTGACCCATTCGCTGTGTCAAATATTGGTTCATTGGGAATGTTTGATGCTACACCTAACCTCATCAACGTTATGTGTTTGTCCTCATTGACTGGTGGGCCAATTTTTTGATTTGACAATCTTCTCTTGTATGTTAATGATTGAGCCTTAGTTGGACTGACAACATTTTCTTGGAATCATGTCACCCAGTGCATCTTTGAATCAAGTGCAATTTGCAGATCTAGTTTGGTGTGAGTGATTGGATTTGTATTTGTGTGAGGGTTACAGTGTCTTCACAGTTAAAATTAACTGAAAGCATATAGGAACAAATACGATAAAAGCAACAACTAGTACTACTTCTATCAGTGCCTCAATCACTAGAAAATAAAACGGGCAAATAAATTGTTCATCTAGTAGTTAGCTGACAAAGATTGTCCGTTAGCAAGGATCTTAGCTTGCCGGTTCCCTGGTTTGAAACATGTAGAGAAACTCTTGAGTGGAGTATATCATATCATGTAGCAACTTGTCTGTACAAAGTATACATGCATTGTGCTTGTATTGGAGAAATGCAAGCGCTATCATTGCTATTTTGTTTATTCGCATTTCCAATTAACAAGTGAGTCATCATGGACACGTATTACTACACTTTTATTTATTTTAAACCAGCTTGTGCGACAAACATTGTTATTTGTATTGTTTTATATACCTTGAAAGTTTGCTACCTGCAATTTTTATAATTCGTTACTCCCCTATGTACAAATCTAAACCCCACAGCATATTACTATTTTGTATTTTACCCCCTTTTTCTCCCCAATTTCGTGATGTCCAATTGCGATCCAATTACGATCTTGTCACATCGCTGCAACTCCCCAACGGGCTCGGGAGAGGCGATGGTCGAGTCATGCGTCCTCCGAAACATGACCCGCCAAACCGCGCTTCTTAACACTCGCCCGCTTAACCCGGAAGCCAGTTGCACCAATGTATTGGAGGAAACACCATTCAACTGACGACCGAAGTCAGCCTGCTGGCGCCCGGCCCGCCACAAGGTGTCGCTCGATGAGCCAAGTAAAGCCCCCCGGCCAAACCCTCCCCTAAACCGGACGACGCTGGGCCAATTGTGCACTGCGCTATGGGACTCCTGGTCATGGCCGGAATGTGACACAGCCTGGGATCGAACCCGGGTCTGTAGTGATGCCTCAAGCACTGCGAAGCAGTCCTGTAGACCGCTGCACCACTCGGGAGGCCAGCATATTACTTTTCTTATCTTTTTTTCAAAGTTTAGGAGCAATATGTCATAGTGAGTAACTCCATGCAGAAGTCGTGAATTGTTAATTTTACGCTTAAGACCAACTGATTACAAGAGCACATGGATAAACCCTACATCTATTGACTAAATGGCAATGCCAATAAGTATGGCGTACAACTTGGACTCCAACTCTTCAATCTCGCCTTTACTTCTGTTTTAGCACAATCGTTGGACATTTTTCAAGAAAATAATGTAACCCTGCTCACTGGACTTGGACATGTTTTCATTTAATTTGAGTGAAATGGTAGATTGTAAAGACACTGGGCTAAGAATAATGAGGAACTCAACGGTTTGGAGACTACAGTATACTCTAGGTTTATAAGGCTTCTAGAGATGGACCAATGTGTGTAACTATCATTTCTTTGTGTGCACTAGCAAATGGGTTTTTGTCTTCCCGCACTGAAAAAGGAGTCCCTCTCACCGCACCCTTTCAATGTGGATTTGCTGATGTGCCTACTTTGGAGACTTTAGCTTTATTGTGCAGAACACTATCTCACCATGATTTTGAATTTGTTGTGACATTTGAGTGACAATGGCGATTTCCCCCATAGTGCACCACTACCTGGGGAATCCAATGCGGCACCATTTAGGTTTTTTCACCGTATTGAAAGTGAATTTTACTTTTCTTTAATTATTTGCACTGTCTATAGCTTTACCATCCTAGAAACACAAGCCATTTGCCTTTAACAATTAAAGTGTAATCATGATTGTGGTGAAGAATTACCACAGCTGCACAATTGGCCCAACTCCAAATCAGACATCCCTCTATTTGGCTGGCATCAAAAACTCAATTTTTTATATATTGTCCACGTGAAGTGGACAACAATGGGCCTCCTGTAGCTCAGTTGGTAGAGCACGGCGCTTGCAATGCCAGGGTTGTGGGTTTGTTTCCCACGGGGGGACAGTATGAAAAATGTATGCACTCACTAACTGTAAGTCGCTCTGGATAAGAGTGTCTGCTAAATTACTAAAATGTACATGTAAGTGTACAAACTGTAATAATGGGAGAGATTGTATTGCAGTTTTATCCATGCACTGTTTGACTTACTGAAACTGGTGTGTCCAAACAATGACTGGTTTGTTTTCTAACAGCACTGTCCAACACTGTGTTAACCTCTAAAATGTTGGACAAACAAAGAAAATGGTTTGGCAAGAATTGGCATGGTGTTAACAGGTTGGACACAGTACATTACGGGTGCAATCACAAGGATGGATTGAACCTCTGTGTGCTTCATTCATATCATTCCACTGGTTTAGAAGTATTTTTATGTGTTACTGAGAATAATGTAAAGGAATTTCAGAAATGGGCCAGTTTTATTTGGTTATGTTTACTGGGACAGTACAGAATGTGACGTGACAACTTACCTTTTTCTATGAATCTTCTGATATAGGACCTGAATCCTAATTTGAGATTCAAGCATGTCTAACTCAGAATTGGATGCAAACTCTCATTGATATCAATGTAGGATTTGATGAGGTCTGAGTTTCACACATGATTCCCAGGTTTGGATTACACCCATAGTCATGATCCTTAATGATTTGAATACTATTGCAAACAGAATGTATCAACACCTGTGCCATTCTGTTAATACTGTACAACAGTATTTTGAGTTTGAGTGCAACTAAAATAAACCCTACAAACTTCTTAATCTGTGAATACTTGAGTTGTAAAATGGCAGAATGCAGAATGCTATATAAACAGTGTAGTTTGTGTGTATAATTAACTACACATGTAAAGGTCCCTGAATTTTTTCATACGCACAAAAAGCTTATTTCTCTAAAATGTTGTGCAGAAATGTGTTTATGTCCCTGTGGGTGAGCATTTCTTCGATGCCAAGATAATTCATCCATTTGACAGGTGTGGCATATCAAGCTGATTAAACAGCATGATCATTACACAGGTGCAACTTGTGCTGGGGAAAATAAAAGGCCACTTTAAAATTTGCAGTTTTGTCACACAACACAATGCCACAGATGTCTCAAGTTTTGAGGGAGCGCACAAATGGCATGCTGAATGTAGGAATGTCCACCTGAGCTGTTGCCATAGAATTGAATGTTCATTTTTCTACCATAAGCCGCCTCCGTTGTTTTAGAGAATTTGGCAGTACGTCTGAATGGCCTCACAACCACAGACCACGTGTAACCACGCCAGCCCAAGACCTCCACATCCGGCTTCTTCACCTGTGGGATCATCTTTGACCAGCCACCCGGACAGCTGATGAAATTGTGGGTTTGCACAACCGAAGAATTTCTGCACAAACGTTGAGAAACCATCTCAGAGAAGCTCATATGCGTGCTCGTCGTCCTCATCAGGGTCTTGACCTGACTGCAGTTCGGTGTTGTAACCTACTTCAGTGGGCAAATGCTCACCTTCGATGGCCACTGGCACGCTGGAGAAGTGTGTTCTTCACGGATGAATGCCGGTTTCAACTCTACCGGGCAGATGGTAGTATGGCATCATGTGGGTGAGTGGTTTGCTGATGTCAACGTTGTGAATCAAATCAAATCAAATCAAATTTTATTGGTCACATGCGCCGAATACAACAGGTGCAGACATTGCAGTGAAATGCTTACTTACAGCCCTTAAACAACAGTGCATTTATTTTAAACAAAAAAAGTTTAAAATAAACAGAGTGCCCTGTGGTGGCGGTGGAGTTATGGTATGGGCAGGCATAAGCTACGGACAACGAACACAATTGCATTTTATCGATGACAATTTGAATGCTCAGAGATACCGTGAATTGATCCTGAGGCCCATTGTCTTGTCATTCATCCGCCGCCATCACCTGATGTTTCAGCATGATAATGCACGGCCCCATGTCGCAAGGATCTGTACACAATTCCTGGAAGCTGAAAATGTCCCAGTTCTTCCATGGCCTGCATACTCACCAGACATGTCACCCATTGAGCATGTTTGGGATGCTCTGCATCAACGTGTACGACAACATGTTCCAGTTCCCGCCAATATCAAGTAACTTCGCACAGCCATTGAAGAGGCATGGGACAACATTCCACCGGCGACAATCAACAGCCTGATCAACTCTATGTGAAGGAGATGTGTCGCGCTGCATAAGGGCAAATGGTGGTCACACCAGATGCAGATTTTTTTTTAAAAAGGCATCTGTGACCTACCGATGCATATCTGTATTTCCAGTCATGTGAAATCCATAGATTAGGGCCTAATGAATTTATTTCAAGTGACTGATTTCCTTATATGAACTGTAACTCAGTAAAATCTTTGAAATTGTTGCATGTTGCGTTTATATTTTTGTTCAGTGTATGTTAGTCTTTCACCTAATTATCTAAATATCCCTTGCTGATTCAATGTAGTACAGAACAAACCAAACGCATGGGTGGTGAAATCACCAGCAGGTGGCAGTATCACTACATGCATTCTATGAGAATTCCAGCATATGCCATCAGAAAGTATTCACACCCTTGACTTTTTCCACATTTTGTCGTGTTACAGCCTGAATTTAAAATTGATTAAATGTAGATGTTTTGTCGCAGGCCTACACACAATACCCCATAATGTCAAAGTGGAATTATGTTTTTTGAATTTTTAACAAATTAATGATAAATGAAAAGCTGAAATGTCTTGAGTCAATAAGTATTCCACCCTTTTTTTTATGGCAAGTCTAAATAAGTTAAGGAGTAAAAATGTGGTTAACAAATCACATAATAAGTTGCCTGGACTTTGTGTGCAATAATAGTGTTCAACATGATTTTTGAATGATGTCATCTTTCTACCCCACACATACAATTATCCGTAAGGCCCCTCAGTCGAAGCAGTGATTTGCAAACACAGATTAAACCACAAAGACCAGGGAGGTTTTCCAATGCCTCGCGAAGAAGGGCACCTATTTGTAAATACAAAAAGCAAACATTGAGTATCCCTTTGAGCATGGTGAAATTATTAATTACACTTTGGATGGTGTATCAATACACCCAGTCACTACAAGGATACAGGCTTCCTTCCTAAGGAAATAAACCGAGGATGGTGACGTTAAAACAATTGTGTAGTTTAATGGCTGTGATAGGAGAAAACTGAGGAAGGATCAACAACATTGTAGTTACTCCACAATACTAACCTAATTGACAGAGTGAAAAAAGGGAATCCTGTAGATAATACAAATATTACATAACATGCATCCTGTTTGCAACAAGGCACTAAAGTAATACTGCAAAAAATGTGGCAAAGCAATACATATTTTCAAGCATAGTGGTGGCTGCATCATGTTATGGGTATGATTCTAATCGTTAAGCACTGGGGAATTTTTCAGG